ACCCTGACCCTGACCCTAAAGCAGCTCCCTAACCCTGACCCTGACCCTAATGCAGCTCCCTAATCCTGACCCTGACCCTAATGCAGCTCCCTGACCCTGACCCTGACCCTGACCCTAAAGCAGTTGCTGAAATTGAGCCTGCCCTCATCCCTGAGCCTGTTCCCAATGCAGTGTCTGGACCATCAGTTATTGTTTGGTTGGTCTCTGAGTGCAAACACTTTGAGGCAACTCCCATTTTGCTGTCAGAATATGATGGTTTTGATTGACATGGCTGCTGCTCCTTTGCTAGCTGGCAGTGTTACATCTGACCCAGACAGAAGCTGTGAGTGTGAGGGTTGGTGTGGGTGAAGTGGTGAGGAAATCTCCTGGGCAGTTAGTGCCGGGAGGAGATAGCGATCCTCTCCACCCTGAGAACATGGCTGTGATCACTCGGCTAAAAACGGCAACTTGACCCTCACTCAGTGGTTGTGTTTTCCTCGTATTAATCCTGACCATCTCACACCCCTTCATCAGCATAAATACTCCCATTTCCCATCTGCCTTCCATTCTGACAAAGGGTGACTGGACACGAAACGTTAATTATGTTTCTTTCTACAGATGCCGCCAGGCCTGCTGAGTTTCTCCAGCGCTTTCTGATCTTGTTTTCTAGACTAGACTCATAGAGTCATACAGCATGCAAATAGTCCCTGCTGACCATGTTCCCAAACTGAACTAGTCCCATTTATCTGTGTTTGGCCCATATCCCTCCAAACCTTTCCTATTCATATACCCGTTCAAATGTCTTTTAAATGTTGTATTTGCACCTGCATCTACCACTTCCTCTGGCAGTACATTCCATATATATACTGAGTGAAAAATTTGCCCCTCAGATCCCTTTTAAAACTTTCCCCTCTCACCTTAAACCTATGCCCTCTAGTTTTGGACTCCACCACCCTGGGGAAAAGACTTTGGCTATTCACCCTATCCATGCCCCTCATGATTTTATAAACCTCTATAAGGTAAGTGCTCAGCCTCCTATGCTCCAGGGGAAAAAGGTCCCATCCTCTCCTTCTAACTCAAACCCTCCAATCCCGGCAACATCCTGGTAAATCTTTTCTGCAGCTTTACCAATTTAATAATATCCTTTTTATAGCAGGGATGGCTTGTCTTTCGAGGAAAGCTTGGACCAGCTGGGTCTGTATCCACTGGAGGTTGGAAGAGCCGGAAGCACCTTCATTGAAACTTGAGAGATCCTGAGGGGCCTGGACAGGGTAGGTGTGAAGAGGATGTCCCCTCTGGTGGGAGAATTTAGAACTAGGATTCACTGTTTAAAAATCACGGGTTGCATGTTTATAACAGAGAAAGGATTTTTCTACCATACAGGGGGTCAAGAGTTTTTGAAATACTCTTCCTAAAAAGGTGATGGAAGCAGAGTATTTGAATTTGATGAAGGCAGAGGGAGATAGATAAGCAAGGGAGTGAAGGTTGACTGGGATAGATGGGAATGTAGTGTAATGAGATCAGCCACGACCTTACCGAATGGCAAAGTGAGTGTGAGGTGTCACGTGGCCTATTCCTGCTCAGATACACCACAGATGTTCTAGCTGCTCTGGATTTACACCTACTTCAGTGTGAGCTCGCGGTATTCTGCGATCTTGGTCACCAAGTCGATGATATGGTCCAGCACTTTCTGGCACAGGTTATAATGTTTCCGGAATCGCTGCTCAGACCGCTCAGCCATGATCTGCTCATGGACCTCTCGCTCTCGCTGGATCTGCTCCATGTGATCCAGTTTTTCCTGTCTCGCCAACACCTGCAGGGAAACAAAGGAAATGACAGATCGTTCCTGACTCTGGCAGAAAACACCGATGACAGCCAGGGACTCTGCCCATCCTGACCCCACAAGGTGACTGAAATGTCACTCTATCACAGACAGTTTATGATACCAATATATGCCCATCATGAAAATTGGCTTTGACACTCTGCCCCCAGTAGAATTTCCCTTTACCTGTCCATCCTATTCATTTTACAATCTTTGTAAATACAATGCAAATCCTAATGAGCCCTCTAAATTTCAGAAATCTAGCTGAGTTTGTATCATCTCTCCACATCATTTAATCCTTGGAGAATGGAAGCTGAATTTGACACTGGAAGCAGCATTCCTGCTCTCATCCATAACTCAGTGTAAACTTTGGGAGTGATACCACTCTTGGCTGGGCTGAGACTGGGCCAGTTTGCTACTCAGCCATTTAACTATGGGTGGGAGGACAGCTCTCTAATCCTGAGCAGTGGGAACTGCCAGAACCGCTGCCTCACTGCAGGGCACGTGTTGCAAGAGAGCCAAATTTCTAGATAAGCCTGATGTGGGGCCAGTGCTGGGCTGATGACAGATTCCCAACAGTGTGGAAGAGGCCATTTGGCCCATTGTGTCTGCACTGACCCTCTGAAGAACACCCCACCCAAACCCAGTTCCCACACTAACCCCATAACAGCCACATTTCCTAACTCACCTAGCCTGCACATCCCTGAACACTATGGGCAATTTAGCATGGCCAATCCACCTAACCTGCACATCTTTGGACTGTGGGAGGAAACCAGAGCACCTGGAGGAAACCCACGCAGACACGGGGAGAATGTGCAAACTCCACACAGACAGTCGTCCGAGGGTGGAATCGAACCCGGGTCCCTGATGCTGTGATGCAGTTGTGTGAGCCACTGTGCCGCCCAATAGTGGGGTGGAGAAACATGGGTGATCTTGACAGGGTGTCCTCGTTTGACATAGGGAGACACCCTACTTATTGTATGACCACCAGAGCAGCAAGTTCCAATGAGCAGGTTGTAAATTTGGCATCAATCTCCCCACCAGTCCCCTCCCCTGCCATAGGTAAATGTCAAGTGAGGTCATGTGGGTAGGCACCAGGAATGATGTCACATCTGAGCCACACAGGTTAAAGTCACAGGTTACTGCAACTGATGAGATGAAATAAACTCGCCATCTTCATACTTAAGAGGCATACCAGTTCCTCCTTTCCACAGGTCCAATAGCTTCATTCACATCCCCAAACTGTTCAACTGCCTGCTGGTTGTTGGCAGGTATTTGGCCACAGTTAGCAATAACTGGCCGCTAGCCCACAGACAAATCTGGTATTTGCTGCTGGCCAAATATCAACACAAACACTGCCTTCTGGATTGAGCTCATTTGTAACTAGGCTTTCCCCATTGCTTGAAGCAACAGCTGTGTAACTAGCCCTTACCGTGTGTATCAGCTTACTGGTTTTAGAAAGAGCAGCAATCCCTCAACAATCCTTTAGACTTAAATATGGAGGGGAAGTTCACAGATGGCATGAAAATGGGTAGGATGGTAAATAGGAGGACAGCCATAAACTGCAGGAGGATAGCAATGGAATGGTCAGCTGGGCAGAGCAGTGGCAAACGTAATTAAACCCAGAAACGTGTGAGGTAATGGACTTGGGGAGGGCTAACAAGCCAAAGAGCCCTCGAAAATGGGATTAAAAATGTTAGGGGGGTTGTTTTTGGCCGGCAGAGACTTGATGAGCTGAAGGGCCTTTTCTGTCCTGTAGACCTCTCGAGCTGTATGATCTAAAGTACTGAAAGTCAGAGGGACCTTGGTCTCCACATTCCTGAAGGTAATAGGACGGGTAGATAAGGCGGTTAAGGGGATATTTGCCTTGATTAGCCGAGGCAAGAATTTAAGAGCAATTACATTCGCTTGCTTTCTTCATTACTTTCTGTCCTTGCATTTTGTGATTTTTGTGATTCATACACTAGGGCACCCAGATCCCTCTGTATCTCAGATTTCTGCAATATCTCACTACTTAGATAATGCGCTTCATTTTAATGCTTCCTGCCAAAGTGGACAATTTCACATTTTCCCATTTTCCAGATCTTTGCCCACATATTTATTCTACCTAGAGATAGTAGGAACGGCCGATGCTGGAGAATCTAAGATAACAAGATGTAGAGCTGTATGAACACAGCAGGCCAAGCAGCATCAGAGGAGCAGGAAAGCTGACGTTTCGGGTCTAGACCCTTCTTCAGAAATGGCGGAGGGGAAGGGGATTCTGAAATAAATAGAGAGAGAGAGGGGGAGGCAGATGGAAGATGGATAAAGGAACAGATAGGTGGAGAGGAGACAGGCAGGTCAAAGAGGCAGGGATGGAGCCTGTAAATGTGAGTGTAGGTGGGGAGTTAGGGAGGGGGTAGGTCAGTCCAGGGAAGACGGACAGGTCAAGGAGGTGGGATGAGGCTAGTAGGTAGGAGATGGGGGGGGGTCTTGAGGTGGGAGGAGGGGATAGGTGGGAGGAAGGACAGGTTAGGGAGGCGGGGACAAGCTGGGCTGGTTTTGGGATGCGGTCGGGGGAGGGGAGATTTTGAAGCTTGTGAAGTCCACATTGATACCATTGGGCTGCAGGTTATCCAAGCGAAATATGAGGTGCTGTTCCTGAAACCTTTGGGTGGCATCGTTGTGGCACTGCAGGAGGCTCAGGATGGACATGTCATCCAAGGAGTGGGAGGGGGAGTTGAACTGGTTCGCGACTGGGAGGTGCAGTTGTTTGTCGCGAACCGAGCTTAGGTGTTCCACAAAGTGGTCCCCAAGCCTCCGTTTGGTTTCCCCGATGTAGAGGAGGCCACATCGGGAACAGCGGATACAGTATACCACATTAGCAGATGTGGCAGGTGAACATCTGTTTCATGTGGAAGATCTTCCTGGGGCCTGGGATGGGGGTGAGGGGGGAGGTGTAGGGGCAGGTGTAGCACTTCCTGCGGTTGCAGGGAAAAGTGCCGGGTGAGGTGGGGCTGGAGGGGAGTGTGGAGCAGACAAGGGAATCACGGAGAGAGTGGTCCCTCCGGAAAGCAGATAAGGGTGGGGAGGGAAAAATGTCTTTGGTGGTGGGGTCGGATTGCAGATGGCGGAAGTGTCGAAGGATGATGCGTTGGATCCAGAGGTTGGTGGGGTGGCGTGAGGATGAGGGGGATTCTGTTTTGGTTGTTATTGCGGGGAGGGGGTGTGAGGGATGAGTTGCGGGAAATGCGAGAGATACGGTCAAGGGCGTTTCGACCACTGTGGAGGGGAAGGTACGTCCTTGAAAAACGAGGACATCTGGGATGTCCGGGAGGGGAATGCCTCATCTTGTGAGCAGATGCAGAGGGGGCAAAGGAATTGGGAATAGGGGATGGCATTTTTGCAGGAAGGTGGGTGAGAAGAGGTGTATTCTAGGTAGCTGTGGGAGTCGGTAGGCTTGAAATGGATATCAGTTTCTAGGTCGTTCCCAGAGATGGAAATAGAGAGGTCCAGGAAGGAGAGAGAGGTATTAGAGATTGTCCAGGTGAGCTTAAGGTTGGGTTGGAAGGTGTTAGCGAAGTGGATGAACTGTTCGAGCTCCTTTTGGGAGCATGAGGCGGCGCCGATACAGTCATCGATGTAACGGAGGAAGAGGTGGGGGATAGGGCCAGTGTAGCTTCGGAAGAGGGATTGTTCCACGTATCCTACAAAGAGGCAGGCATAGCTTGGGCCCATGCGGGTATCCATGGCCACCCCCTTTGTCTGTAGGAAGTGCGAGGAATTGAAGGAGAACCCTGCAGCCCAATGGTATCAATGTAGACTTCACAAGCTTCAAAATCTCCCCTCCCCCGACTGCATCCCAAAACCAGCCTCATACCCGCCTCCCTAACCTGTTCTTCCTCCCACCTATCCACTCCTCCCACCTCAAGCCCCACCTCCATCTCCTACCGACCAACCTCATCCCGCCCCCTTGACCTGTCCATCCTCCCTGAACTGACCTATCCCCTCCCTACCTCCCCACCTACACTCACCTTTACTGGCTCCATCCCCGCCTCTTTGACCTGTCTGTCTCCTCTCCACCTATCTTCTCCTCTGTCCATCTTCTATTTGCCTCCCCCTCTCTCTCTCTATTTATTTCAGAATCCCCTTCCCCTCCGCCATTTCTGAAGAATGGTCTAGGCCCGAAATGTCAGCCTTCCTGCTCCTCTGATGCTGCTTGGCCGGCTGTGTTCATCCAGCTCTACATCTTGTTATCTCTTTATTCTACCTATATTTTTGCAGCATTGTTATGTCCTCTTCACAATTTAATTTCTTATTTATCTTTATGTCATCAGCAAATGTAGCTTCTGCGCCTTCTGTCCCTTCTTCATTTACATAAATTGTAAACAGTCGAACTCCCAGCATTGATTCCTGGTGCACCCTACTTGGTACATCTTTCCAACGTTAGCTAAGTGTCAGTCTTGTTGGGTTTTTTGGAGGGTTTTGCTCTGTGAGGAGTTTTCTTGCTGCATCTTACCAACCAGGCCTCATTTACACCTACTTCATACCAACTGCACTTCCCTTGTCTGAGTCTAGCTGCCTTCTATCACCATATCACTGCCAGGATATCCTCGAATGGACTGGCATGTCTGGCATTGGCACCAACTTTAAAAGGCCACTGTGTGCCTGGACAAGTACAGTCAGACTGAAGCTGCCCTGCAGCTTCCTGAGATTTGAATGTGGAGGTCCTGCTGGACAGTGTGATGTACAGGAAGGATGTTCTCTTTCCCCAGGTCCAGCAGTGGAGGCCATGACACTAGACCATGCCCAACCTGGTCTGATGTTGTGTCACCAACTTGAGGAATGCCTAGCAGTGTAGGAAGCGCTCTGCCTGTGTAAATGCCACCATCTTCTTTCTGAAATATTCTCTCTCTGCCACTACACCCACCTCCCACCAAGGCCCACACTCTCCCAATCTCACTATTGCCTGCAACATCTTCCCTCACTCACCGCCATCCACCTCAAACCCGACTCCATGAATCCTGTATGCCCTCAGCCCTGCCTACTCACTCATTCAGGACAACACCCCTCTGGCACCAAAACTAACAGTTGTACCACCCTTAGTACCTGCCTCAATGGGAGGAAAACAGCCCACAAAAAGGCAGAAAGAGTGAAGGCAGGTGGTGTGGAAGGCAGGAACGAGAGTAGGCCATTCAGCCCACTAAGCCCACCCTCCCGTTCAATACAATTATGGCTGATCAAAAATCTCACTGAATTTTGAACATCCCATCCCACTGTATGCCACTGGTAATGAGAAATCTATCCATCTCTATCTTAAACATACTCAAAGACAAGCTTCCACGGCCATCCGTGACCAGGGGAAACATTTTATCTACAGCTATCCCATCTATCACTTTCACTATTCTGTAGGTTTCAATGAGATCACCTCAATGAGGTGCAAAAAGGCAAGGCAGGGAAGCAGTGAGCACCCAGATAGGTTTAAAGTCAGTGAGCATGAAGGAAGCAAAGGAACATGCCAGAGCTGCAGCCTGGTGCAGTCCCTGAACTGGGTGAGCGTGTCTGAGTGTCCTTGGTGCAGTTTAACAGTGAGAGGTGTCATTGTGGCCCTAGGTGCAGCATTGAAGTCCAGAAGTATCCTGTAAGTGGGTTGGAGATGTGCAATGAGGGTTCTTCAAGGCTGGCATATGTCAGATGCCAATGTTTGTGGTTGTGGGGTGGTTATGGCCAGTGCCTGAGAAATGACTAAATAAAGTCCACCATGGACATCTTTTGGAGCTGGAGGTTCCCCAGGTACCCGCTCTGACTCCTGTGTCAAGAATTTTTAGCGTCTAATTTGCTCGTGGCAGGTGGTACAATGGAAAGCTGTGTATTAATGAAGTGAAATATGCAGTGAATAAGCACATTAAAAAGCAATAATCTGTATTAATAGGCACCTCGGTGCTGCTTAGTGAGAATCTCACCCTGACACCCTGAACTGAATAAAACGATGCAGTGAGTTATTCCCAAAGTTGAGATCAGCCTTGCTGAACTTCCCATGTGATTCTGCCTGCATCATTCAGGATTCCACCCTGAGTCTGTCGTAAAGCTGAGGAGGGGCAGCGGTGAGGTGGTAACCCGGAACCCCAAGCTAATGGCCCTGGGAACATGGGTTCAAATCACACCCTGGCAGATGGTGATATTTAAATGCAATAAAATCTGGAATTAAGAATCTAGCGGTGGCCATGAAACCATTGTCAATTGTTGTAAATAACCCAACTGGTTCACTAATGTCCTTTAGGGAGGGAAACTGCCATCCTCACCTGGTTTGGCTACATGTGACTCCAGACCCACAGCAATGTGTTTGACTCTTAACTACGTTCTGAAATGGCTTAGAGCCCACTGCGAATGAGCCATTAAAACAGGCTATGCCAGCAAAACCCTATGCAATAATAAAGAAGCTGCTGTTAGCCAACATACCGCTTCCTTGTCCAATGCTTCCTGGAACTCCTGCAATCGTTTCTCCTTGTACTGCTTCTCCCGGAAGATACGGTTTTGTATGATGATTTGTTTCTCATGGCGAGCATGCATCAGCTGGACAGCAATCCGCCTTTCCTGTAGTGACTGGCGCATCAGCCGATTCACCAGTTGCTCCTCACGATACACCTCCTAGGATCAGGCATAGGAACACACAACCATCACTGGCTTACACTCGGTCAGTACTGGATCACAGAGTAACCACTGGCATACACTGGGACATCACCAGCTTACACTGGGTCTTCACATAGAAACCAATAACATACACTGGGTCACCACTGTCTTACAGAGATATCACTGTCTTACATTGCGTCATTACTGGCACTACTCTAGGTCCTTGGCTCCCTCATGAGGTGAAACATTCTTTCAGTATTTACCTTGTCAAGTCCCTTAAGAATCCGATACATATCAATGAGATCACCTCTCATTCTTCTAAACTCCAGTAAATAGAGTCCAACCTGTTTCACCTGTTTTTAAAGATAAATCTGAAAGGAGCATGCAAAGATAAATGTAGGTTATACTGTAACATTTCAAAAGTAACACAGACCTATATGCATGGTCAAAACTGTGGTCAAACACCCCACAGGTCACTTTTGAGGGAGTTTCAATGTCTGTTTATTAAAAGGCAAGGAATACAAAGGGGACAGTCACACTGTCAAGAGTATCTAAACAGTCAAACTGCCAAACCGTCAGAGAGCAACTGAACAACAGGTACGCCGACAATTCATTGATGTCTGCAAAACTAATAATAAACATATAATAGATAGAGAATATATAAAAGAATAGTTAGATTTCAACCAGAACAATATTAATTGGTATAATCATGATATAAAGGGTTTTGAAGGGGCAGATTCCTTGAAATGTAAACTGGAGAGCTTTTTATGTCACTGTGTAGACAGTCCAACAAGGGAAAGTGCAGTGTTGAACCTAACTCTGGGGAATGACTGCAGAGAGGTGCTCGAGGGGACAGTGGGGGCATTTTAAACAAAAACTGAAACTGCTGGAGAAACTCAGCAAGTCTGGCAGCATCTGTGGAGAGAGAAACAGAGTTAATGTTTCATATGTTTTAAGTTTGTTATGGAAAGGAGAAAGCTGGTCTGCAAAAATAGGTTTTTGGATTGGGGTAAAACAGACTTTATTAAAACAAGGCAGGATCTGGCCAAAATAAACTAAGAACAACTACTTGTGGGTAAAGCTGTAGCAGAACATTGGGAGGCATTCAAAAAGGTACTAGGGGTGGAGTACAGACCCAACATGTTCCCATGAGGGTGAAATATAGAGGCGGAGGTGATAGGTTAATTGTATATTGCTAGACTGTTAATTCAGAGACCATATTCTACTGATATGGGTTTGAATCCTGCCATGGCAGATGGAGGAATTTGAATTCAATAAAAATATCTGTATTTAAGAGTCAAATGGCAATCACGAAGCTGATATTGATTGTTGTAAAAGGATATCTGGTTCACAAATCTCCTTTAGAGAAGGAAATCAGCTGACCTTACCCAGTCTGGCCTTCCTGTGATACCAGACCTACTATGTGGTTGAGTCATCTCAGGCAGTTAAGGATGGGTAACAAATGCTGCCCTCAACCTGAGAACAAATAAAGAATACAAGCCGAGAGAACCCTGGATGTCTAGGAATATTTAGGACTGGTCAAAAAGGAAAAGAGAGGCATATAACAGGTACAAAGGGAGCAAATCAATGGAGGCCCTGGTGGAGCATAGAAGGTGCACTGGCGACTTAAGAAAGCAATTAGAAAGGCAAAGGGGGACATGAGAAAATATTGTCAAGCAAGATTAAAGGGAATCCCAACACAATATATCTAAAAGGAAGATAATACCCAGGGAAAGAGTAGGGTCCATTAGGGACCAAGAGGGTAATCTGTGTGTGCAGCCAGAGGACGTTGATGGAGTGTTAAATGCACACTTCACATCTGTCTTTCCTCAGGAGAAGGTGGATCCAAGTACAGAATTTGGGAAGATGGAATGAGATGTTCTTGAGCAAATTGTTACAGGGAGTGGGGGAGTATTTGAGGTTTTGGTGAGTTTAACAGTGGACACATGCCCAGGTCTGGATGGCTATATTCTAGGCTGCTGTGGGAAATGAGGGAGGAAAGTACTGGGGCCCTGACACAAACTTTAATTTCTCTCTGGCCACAGGGGAGATGCCACAGGATTGGACGACAGTTAATGTGGTTGATAGAGCAGGAAACTATAGATCAGTGGGAGGGAAACTGTTGGAGAAAATTCAGAAAGAGAGAATGAATCTCCACCTGGAGGGGCAAGATTTGATCAGGGATAGTCAGTGTGGCTTTTTCAGAGGAAGGTCACACTTGACAAACCTGGTGAAATTTTTCGAGGATGTTACAATGGGTTTGAATGAGGGTAGGGCAGCTGATGAAGTTTATATGGATTTCAACAAGGCCTTTGACAAAGTCCCACATGGGAAACTGATACAGAAGGTAAAAGCTCATGGGATCCAGGGTAACTTTGGAAATTGGATCCAAAGCTGGCTTAGTGACAGGGGACAGTGGATGGTGGTAGGAGGCTGTTTGTGTGACTGGAGCCCGGTGTGCAGTGGTGTAAGACAGGGAGCAGTGCTGGGTCCCTTACTGTTTGTGATATTCATAAACAATGGAGATGGGAATGTGGGAGAGATGGTAAGTAAGTTTGTGGATGACACAAAGATTGGTCAGGTGGTTGACAGAGAGGAGGAAGGTGTTAGATTACAGGAGGATATAAACGGATTGGTCAGATGGGCAGATCAGTGGCAGGTGGAATTAAACCCTGATAAATGTGATTTGATGCACTTTGGAAGAAGGAACAAGACAAGGGAGTACTCAATGAATGGCAGGATGCTAGGAACCTCACAGGAACAGAGTGATCTTGGGATGTTTGTCCACAGTACGGGTTAATAGGGTAGCTAAGAAGGCACGTGGCACTTACCTTTATCAGTCATGGCATAGATTATAAGAGCAGGGAGGTTATGTTAGAGATGTACAAGACTTTGGTTAGGCCACAGCTGGAGCACTGTGTGCAGTTCTGGTCACCACACTATAGGAAGGATGTGAATACACTGGAGGGGGTGCAGAAGGAGATTCACCAGGATGTTGCCTGGGATGGAGCAGTTTAGCAGTGGAGAGAGGCTGGATAAGCTCAGGTTGTTTTCTTTGGAGCTGATTAGGTTGAAGGGGGACCTGACAGAGGTGGATAAGATTATGAGGGGCCTGGATGGGGTTGGGGGGGGGTGGGGACAGAAAGCAGTTGTTACCCCTTGTCACAGGGTCAATAACAAATAGCATCATTTTAAGGTGAATGATAAGCAGTTAAAGGGGGATAAGAGGAAAAGTCTTTTCACCCAGTGGGTGGTGGGAGTGTAGAATACATTGCCTGAAAGGGTATGAAGTCAGAGACCTCAGAATCTTTAACAAGTATTTGGTTGAGCACTTGAAATATCACAACATTTAAGGTTATGGGCCTACTGCTGGAAAGTGGGACTGGTGTAGGTTTAGTTTTGGTAGTCCAGACTCGATGGGCCCAAAGACCCTCTTCTGACCCTACATGATTCTATAATCCCTTGTGAATATTTAACAAGATTTGGAGGTCCACATTGACACCAAAGTCTGTCTGTGGAAGGCTCAGGTTTGCTGAGAATGTGATCTGTCTTGATTTCACTTGCTGTTTGATGTGCCTTAATGATTAGGAAAATTAATAACTTCCTTCTCCAGGGCTTCATTCCCCTGGATTCTCTGGCACTTACTTACAGGTACAACTCTAGCCTTTTACTGACTACTAGCTTCACCAAGTTAATACTACCCCTAGTTTCCTGCACTCTATTTCTGGTCAGTTGCACAAAGTAGATTCTGACTATAGGCATCTTTCACCCCTTGCTTGCAGCCAAACTGAGTGATCGAAGGTGTAGCTTCTGCTGTGCCCCCAGAGCTTGCTGGAGTCTTCAGGAGCCCTGAATCCAACACCTAACTGCCCACTAACTCCTGAACCGTCCTTCTGAGTTTGAACAGCATGGAGCCATCCAGCTACTCTCGACTTCTCACTCAGTTCCCATTACACAGACTCGATGTAGTTCAGTTTTTTTCTTCAACATGTCCGACTAAGGTTACTTTCTGCTTGTGGCTTGCTTCTATCTTTATCTATCTTCTTCTCCAATTAATTGTGACCCCAGAATTACTCTTCCATGACCCCTATATTATTTTGAGAGACTTATTGAAATTCTTGCAACAAACTCCACCCTCCTTCCTCAGTAGTATTGAATGAAACTAAAGTTTGAAACAGTCAAACGCAGCAGTCAGGAGCAGAACTTGATTCTAATAATCCCTGAATGTTACCATGCTGACCTATTTCAGGCTCATTTCTGGCTTTGCAGCACAAAAAAAAGTGCATACAAAATAAAGGATTCAATATACCCTGTGCAATTCATTAATGAGCCCCCTCACCTCACAATCCCCATAAACTGGCAACTTTCTATAATCCCAAACTTTCTATGATTGCCACCAGTCAACCGCAACACTCAACTCCCGACAATAACTCCTTTCCAATAACACCCAACTGTTGTACGTTTCCCCATTTCCCCCACTGTATTGATGCTGTTATGAAGATGTGATTCATTTTCAGTAAAGATTTTAGTCTCTGAACTTGAAGTGAACCTTAAGATGCGGGAGCATCAGTAGGCCATTCCGCCCATCAAGTCTGCTCTGCCATTCCATAGAATCCATAGAATGCCTACAGTGTGAAAACAGGCCATTCAGTCCACACCGACCCTCCGAAGGGCATCACTCACAGACCCATTCCCCTACCCTATATATGCCATGGCTAAAGCATCTAACTTATACATCCCTGGACACTACGGGGCAATTTAGCATGGCCAATCCACTTAACTTGCACACCTTTAGACACTCAATGAGATCAGCTCCACTTTCCTGCATTTTTCCCCATAATTCCTGATTCCCTCACTGATTAAAACTCTGTCTATTTCAGCCTTTAATATACTTAATGACCCAGCCTTGACAGCCCTCTGTGGTAAAGAATTCCACAAGTTCACTCCCGTCTGAGAGAAGAAATTCCTCCTCATCTCTATATTAAATGTGCAATGCCTTGTTCTGAGATGATACCCTCTGGTCCTACTAGGGGAGAATCTTTCCCTCATCTACCCCATGAAGCCTCCTAAGAATTGTGTATGTTCAATACAGGCACCCTTCTAAATAAAGGCCAACATTGCGTTTACCTTCCCTATTGTGTACTGAACTTATAAGCTCTACATCCTAAATACGCAACTCTAAATCACTCCAGGTTGGAGCTTTCTGCAGTCTTTTTATTCTTCCTGACAAAGTATAAAACCTTAAACTTTCCCACACTATATTCTGCCTGCCCCGTCTTTACTCACTCACTTGATCTGTCGATATCCCTCTTTGGGTCATCCTTACCACCTGCCATCCCACCTATTTTTGTGTCATTTTCTAACATTGGTATTATACAGTCGATTGCCCCATCCTCATTGATATATATTGTAAATAACTGTGGACCCAGTACATTATGTTGTGCCTCTGGGTTTTATTCCAGCAATAAATTCCATAGACAGGCCTTAGCTTTATGCCCAGTGCTGTGCTGCACCCTCCTACCTCCTGGGCCTCGTGTGCCTGCAGCTGGTCCAATAACACTCGTCGTCGCCGCTTCTCCCGCTCCTTCCTTGCTTTGCCTTCCTCATCCAGTCTCTTCCGAAGGTTCTCAATAAATGTGTGATGTTCCTCCACTCTCACACATGGAACAAACATCTCATTCGAAGGGGTAGATTCTTCCACAATATGGACCGTACTGCTTGCCCTGGAAAAGACAAACCATTTCCATTTCAGAGTACGCAAAATCAGAGCGTATGGAATTGGAGGTACAATACTGGCATAGATTGGGAATCAGTTAGCAGAAACGAAGCAGAAAATAGGAATTGTTTTTGATTCACTCATAGATATGCGTGTCACTGGGCAGGCCAGCATTTATTGCTCACTCCAAGTTGCCCTTGAGAAGGTGGGGGTGAGCTGCCTTCTTGAACTGCTGCAGTCCTCCTGCTGTGGGTTGACCCACAATGCCCTTAGGGAGGGAATTCCAGGATTTTGACCCAGCAACAGTGAAGGAATGGTGATATATTTCCAAGTCAGGATGGTGAGTGGCTTGGAGGGGAACTTGCAGGGGGTGGTGTTCCCATGTATCTGCTGCCCTTGTCCTTCTATATGGAAGTGATCATGGGTTTGGAAGGTGCTGTCTGAGGATCTTTGGTGAATTTCTGCAGTGCATCTTGTAGATAGTACACACTGCTGCTACTGAGCGTCGGGGGTGGAGGGAGCAGATGCTTGTTGTTATGGACCAGACTAGACCCTGCCTCATCCCAAGAGTATTGTGAAGAGATAGCTTAGACCCTAACTTTCACATTTATTTAAAGGCAAGTGTAAGGTGCTGTGTTCCTTTATTCATTCACAGGATGAGGGCGTTGCTGGCTAGGCAGCATTTATTGTCCATCCCTAATTGCCCAGAGAGCAGTTAAGAGTCAACCACATTGCTGTGGGTCTGGAGTCACATGTAGGCCAGACCAGGTAAGGATGGCAGTTTCCTTCCCTAAAGGACATCAGTGAACCAGATGGGTTTTTCCCGACAATCAACAATGGATTCACAGTCATCATTAGATTCTTAATTCCAGATATGTATTGAAATCAAATTCCACCATCTGCCATGGCAGGATTCGAACCCAGGTCCCCAGAACGTTATCTGGGTCTCTGGATTAACAGTTCAGCAATAATACCACTAGGCCATTGCCTACCCTAGATGTGATTCAAATGATCCACCACAAGGCTTTAATTAAAGCACACTTCATTTTTACAACATAATTAAAATGCAAAAAAAACTCACATAGCTTTATTCTATTGAAATACCCAACAAGATAATGTATTACTTAACCACAAATCATCAACAGTTCCAATAAACATTGGCAAAAATACAATTCAGCAAACAGTGGGTGTCTCATGTGCTGCCTCTCTCCAGTTCAGCAAAAAGAAACAATCTACCCCTTTTGATTCTTAAGTGGAAGCCTCACTGCCTAAGACTTCACTCTAACAGAAGCAGAAGCTTTCACCTTACTGAAAGTAAAACTCAAACTCTTACTCAGTCATGTGAGCCCTGACCCCACCCACTCATGAATCTTTTGTTTCAATTTAAAACTAAACACCTGGGGAGAACTCAAAAGCTGTTTACCAACTGCCTGTCTGAAGGAGACATTTCTGCACCACTGTGACCACACACTTCTGTAAGAGCAACAGCACAGAACGCATCTCTTAAAGGCACAGTACGTCACAACAGACAGAGATAGAGTGTCCCAAATGTCCATTCTTATTTGGAAGTGTTGGGCACAGGGACCTGATCACGCTGTCACTCTGAGTGGACACCCTGTGGCCAGGGGTCATCACAGAGCACAAGCAGCTCCTGGAGATGGAACTATAGATTCTGTCTGGCTGGGGGTGTCCCTTTAAATGGCCAACAATGGTCAGTCCTGGAACAGAAAGCACTAGGAAGGGGTCAGGAGGAGTCAGGGTGGGGATAGGAGCAGATCAGAATGGCCTCAGGATGGTCAGGAAGGGGCCAGCAACAGACCAAGGGCATCAGGAGGAGTCAGTAATGATCAGGGGACACTGGAAGAAATGAGGACAGGTTTGGGAGAGGGGTTAGTAGGAGCCTGAATGGCCTCAGGCGGGGGTTCTGAATTGAGGGTGGTTGATTGGCCCAGCTGGATGTTGATATCTTTGTTGTGATTGGCAGGGAGGAGCTGGGCTCTGAGTGCCCAGACTATACTACCATGGGACCATACACCTGCTTCTTTGACAGGGACCACACCTCGATCTGGACCATCTACACCATCACCATCATCGCTAGTAACTCCATGGGCAGGAACCTGTCTGAACCTGTCTTCATTGATGTAACCTATATAGGTTAGTGAGGATCCTTGTTCAACTACACCCTGTTAAACCACAGCCCTGTCCAGCCACAGATAGCAGCTCCATACCCTGGGCAATAGACTCTCACTGTGAAGGAATAAATGTGTCTTAGCCACGCTCTGAACCCACTCCAACAAACAGACAGATGTATCTTTATTCACAATGAGCAGGACTCGAGAGCGGCTCAGGTCAGGGGCTCATCAGTGGCTGGTGCCCTGTTCCCCAGGAACACCACGAGGCCATTCAGCCCCCTCCTCCAACCTGTTCCCCA